AATACAAAGAAAGTATATAAGATATACCATATCATCCTGCAGAAAAAGAAACATTCATCAGCAAAGAGAAGTGCCCAGCTGCAATTCCTGATGTGTTCATGCTGTGTGTGAAACACGGCTCTTCCAGTCTGACTTCAAAACTGGAGGATCCGGTGCCTGGATGGTGGTTGTGGCAGTGGGGAGGGATAGACCCTGCACTTCCACGCTAAGAATCGTGTCCTGGACACCAACTAACAAGGGCACCTGCTCTGAAGTGGTCTCGGGGTTGCCTCGGTGAATCCTGCACACGATCCCTTTCTGATGTTTCTTATCCTGGATGGGTATTTATAGTTTTGAATTTCGCTACCTACTGGTGTTAGCAAATGCTTTACAAATATTCCCACTTTGAAAAGGCTACTTTCCCCCACCACCCCCTTGGCTTGTGCCCAAGCACAGGAGTTTTCAGTCCAAACCTGTCTTTGCCGAAATTAAAGGATGTACGCTGAAAGAAAATCAACCTTAAATCTGAAATTATTTCAGCTTGACTGTGCATCCTTGGCTGTGGTTCTGTGATAAGTAACAAAGTGATAGGGCAAGGTTGGGGGTATCAGGAAGAAAGTCAGTCAGTCATGGGACCAGCCCAGTGGGTGCGTTTCTGCAGCCTCTCCCTGGACTCAGACCAAATGGAAATGGAGTTTTGATTTTATATAAAAGGCAGGATCTGCTCCCCTTGTCTACATGGAGAGGTCTGTATTTGGAAGGTCAACTCCTGCAACGTTAAAGCTTGAGTCTGTAGCCAGCCTGGGTCAGAGCCTTAGGGGAGCAGGTTCCATACCCCTCGATAAGCCCTTTCAGTGATGACATCTCAGTGCCAACAAGACCTGTCCTGGATTAGAGGAAAGGCAGAGGATAGGAGGGAAGAGCCTGTGAGACACGTGCGTTGCTCTAGGAGTAGAAATGCTGAGGGGAAAGCACATTAAACTCGCCAAGACAGCCTGAAGGAGGTAAACTGGAATGGAGTAAAATACTAACCAGAAAAATCAAAGCCATCATTAGGCACAGCAAACTTTGAGATGGAATCTTTTGATGCTTTCTTTCCTCCCTTTGTGCTCAAATCCCTTTGGTCTCCTCCACGGGCATCTGGGCAGGCACCAGCCAACGTGTTGCTGTGACCAACTGACTCCTGCTAGACCTTTTCCGACCATCACTCATTGCATCCTACAAGAAGCTGGTGTGAAACCAAGCTGGCTTGTCTGCTCGGCAGCAGCAAATTGCTTCTTCAGCTTAAACCTTTGATCTAGCGTCGCTGTACCCAGCAAGGGCCCTTCTGCGCTACCCCTCAGAGTCAAACTCTGCCCCAAACCCTGGCGAGAGGGGGCAGGAGCATCAATGAGAGGTGCATCAGCCATGTGCTCTGCTCAGAGACTCTTCCTGAGCAGCACAAACTGTGTGTATTTATATCCCACCGGGACCTCACACTTGTCGATCGTAACTCCTACTTGAACTTACATTTAGAGACGTTTCCCACCTTCTCCATCTCTTCAGCAAGCTATCCTCCTACCAGCTCAACTTCGCTGTCAGGTAAGGATGAATTGCCACCTCATCACTTGGATCTCTCGCCTCTCCCCTATTGCCTGCTTTACTAGGGGGTAGAAATTGGCCAAATCCTGAGGATTTCATGACTCTTATACTTGCAAACACAGGAAGCTTGATGCCGACGTGCGTGCTTAGGGGAGGCTGCAGCAGGTGGCAAAGAGCTGTGACAGAAGTGATGGGGCTTGTTTGTGGGGATGGAGAGGGGAAGTCTTTTCATGACACAGTTTTTGTGATCACCCTTTTGTGAGCTAAAGACACAAAGGACAAAAGTTAAGAGAGGAGAGGTTGTGCCTGGATGTGGAAGAAAAGATGCTTGCTCTTAGGTGAACACTAAATTAGCAAAAAAATCACGAGGGATGCTGTAGTTTCCCAGATGTAGAACAAAGGAGGAACCGTGCCTGCTGCTGGCCTCAGGATGAAATTCTGCCATGATTTACCTCCTCAGAACACAGTCAGAGGTGAGGCGTGTGTCAAGGGTTGGGGGCTCAGCAGCTTCTTCCTTCACAAATACAAACTAATGAACCCAAAAAAGCCAAATAGGCAGCTGAGCTGGGTAAAACTGTGTGTGACGTGAAGAGTAAGGATCTAGTGGCAAAACCTTTGCAAAACATCAGGCTGCAAAATGTGTGGGGAAGTTGGGGGAGAGCACAGAGAAGAGACTTTCCAGATAATCCTGGGGGGGTTATTTTTCCAGCACTGCAGAGCCAGGTTGCACAGAGAGAAAATAGTTTGTCAGGAGTAATTATAGAGGCTTTCCCCTGGATTTAAATGCAGGATAAGAAAAAAAAAAGAAAAAAAGCTATATTCAAGAGCGCAGAACAATTGTATCTAATCAGAAAGAAGATTTTAAAATGAAAGGAATTTAAGTGTCTTAGTTTTTCTTTTTTATTATATTTAATAGTAAGATGAGAAGCAGTTGCCTCAACAGCCCAATGATACGGGCTAATGTCTGAGGCACAAACCACGTTTGGGTGCATACAACAAATCATCATTGTGGGGTTTTTTGGGGAAAGCTTCAGCCTTCTGCATTCAGACGAATTCTGGTACCTCTACTGCTCTGCGCTCGCCAGCCTGAGACTTCTTCTGGGAAGGACCGCTGCAGCTGCCCATAAAAGCCCCCTTGTTCCTGTGGCTGTAAGTATCCCAGTCCATTTTGAAGTGGTGTGTGTGTTTGCCTCAATCCCTTTGGAAAAATCAGGTTCAAAGGAAATCTGTATTCATACGGTTCTGTTAAGGAGGAGAAAGAAAACCAGGTTTCTTTTTGGAGCGGCACGTTGCATGTGCCTCTGAGCAACTTTGCCATCGGTGCAATTAAAGCAGCGTAATGCTAACCCACCTCGTGAGGGGTGGCAAGGTTTAATCCTTTAAATGTGGTAAAGCACTTTAGATGAAAGGCTTTATGTAATGATAGAAGAGCATTTAAATTCTTACTTAATAAATACTTGGCGCTCTCAAGTACTATAACTCATTGCGGCAGCTTTCCCTGAACGTCGTCGGCTCTTCCTGCCCAAGGAGGAGCTCGCTCGGCTCTTCCCATAAGCTGAATTTCAGCAGCTCAAAGAGCAAAGGGCAGAAGATGACACGGACAGGCAGCGCTGCCCATATGCATCTCAGAAAAAATAGTGTGCGTGTTTCCCAGCAAGCAGCTTTCAGGTTCAAGTGTTAGAGAAGGAAACGTTTGGGGGGTTTGATGGGATGTCATCCGCCATGAGATGAGAGTTTGAATCTCCAAGGGTGGGTTTCGGATGAGCTCCGGGAGATCTGGTGCCAAGGGTCACCCGGGCAGCAGCTGTGCGTGGGGGCTCACACCCAGCAGCACTCAGTGGCCCCTGTTTGCTGAAGCTCACAAAAAAAATGAATTGCAAAAGAAAGGTTGCAAATTTGGTCCATTTTAGAAGCCAATAGTGTGTAATAAAGCACTGGCAAAGGGGTGGATGGGAATGGAGCCCAAGAAAGTGCTGTGGTGCTGTGCTATTGCTGTGAGTCCCTGGAATCCCTTTTAATGTAGAGAAAAATGTTAACAGGGGATGTTAATGTAGAGAAAAATGTTAATCTAGGGAATTTGGCTTTCATAGCCCCTGGATTCAAGTAATGTCTAGGAAAACAAAACACTTTAAAGAGGAGCAATCAAACAGGTTGACGAGAGAGTTTTCACTGCGATGCCCATGGCTTTGCACAGCAGCTGAGTAACTACAGCGTGGATTTGCAGTGGACCACTCCCCTGTGCTAACCCCACGTGCGCACACGTGCCCGCTCATCCCCCAGAGAACTTAGTGCCGAGCAGTTACGGTGTTGTGACATTTCTTACAGCGTGCAGTAGTTTCTCCATGTAGACAAGCCTCCAAAGCATTAGATTTGGTCTAAGGTTTGGGTTGGGTTTTTTTTTCAGGAGATTGGTGGTAGGGAGCAGAAGTGCCCTGGAACACCTTATTTATTTCTTGGTGCAGGCCATATTTATTTCTAAGTCCCAGGCTGTCAGCTGGAGACAACAGAAAGGATGGGGAGTGCAGCTCTTGGCCAGGTACTTGTGCCCGCAAAGTTTTGATAAAAGAGAGAGGCTCAGCTAATACGGAGCCAATGGATATGGCCAGAAGCCATCTACAAAGCCTGAATAAAATAACAGGCGATGAAACTTTGCATAGTCTGGGTGGCTGGATAGAGGACCAACCCCAGTAACAACCAGCAAGGACAGGGGGAGGAGCAGAAGAGGGGATGGGGATGGATGGAGTGAGGTGGGATCAGATCCCGAGGGAAACAGCTGAGGTGTGGAAGACGTGGAGGGGCACGGGGGATGTATAGGCAGATCAGGAGAAGCAAAGTCTATTTTCTTGTTATGTTAAATATAAAACATTAAAAAATAATAGTACTTGTGGAACTGACCCCAGCCAGCTCCGGGGATGCTGGAGATTTTCAGAAATGCAGAAGAGCATGTGAGGGGTGCAGGGATCTTAAATTCCTCCATGCCTCTGAAAATCTCCTGGAAGGCCCTAAGCTGAAGCCCGAAAGGATTGGGGACGTAAGCACTGACAGTGGCAGGGGCTGGATCACGCCGAAGCTTTTGTGTGATGGACATGACATGACATAAAAGTGTAAGTGGGTAAAACGGGCTCTCCCTGCCTTGGTACTGCTGCTACAGATGAACCAGGCTCTTTTCTCAGCGCCATGAGAATTAACCTCACTTTGGGTGCACAGAGAGAGAAATGTGTGGGTTCACAGAGAAAGCATTATTTTTCCTTCCATTAAAAACCCCCACCATGGGATCGGGGTGAGGAGGAGCCTGGCGTTCTCATGCAGCAACATCCTGCTCTGTCAGCTCTGAGATCTGCCCTAAGTGATAAAAGAGCTCATAGGAACAGACATAGAGAACATTCCCAAAGGCATGCAAATGGTCATTGTCTCTTTTTTTTTTTTTTTTTTTTTTTTTTTTTTTTGTAGAGACAGAGAATTTGATGATTTAAAAACCAACAACCCCCCAAAAATTCAGTGACTTGTGCCAAAACTCTTAGGAGGATTCCTTAAAATGTCCTGTTCTTGCCTTAAATTTCCTTTTAAAATATGCTTCGCTCTTGAAACTCTCTCCTCCTCCTGTACTGTAGTTGTCTCCCCACTCCGCGAGTTTTGCTGGAGGGGAATGAGGTAGTGGATTTCCCCCTTCTCCTCTCCACTCGACGTCTGATGTTCACTCCCATTCCTTCTTGCCATGTTTTTTATCCCATCACTTGTACAAACTCATTTCCAAGAGGCGGTGAAGTAGAAGCATGCGTTCCTTCAGACGGCGCTCCAGAGCAGGCTGTCTAGGGCTGCCCACCTACACTGTGACAATTTTTTTGTTGCAAGGCCGAAAGTAAAAACCCCAAAAGGAAAGTTGTCTTCCTCCTCTTCGAGGTATTTGCATGCTAAAACATCTTCTAGGAAACTGTAAAATAAAGAGAGTCTTAGGGCAGCTTCCAGTAGTCACCAAAGTTTCCCTTATGCTCTTGGTTTGGGTTTGTGTGTTTCTGAGGTTCCCGTTTGCCTGACATGCACGCTGGTGTGTCTGTGTTAGAGAGGCTCCTCAAACGTTTTGGGATTCCATTTCTGGGCAGGTTGATTTGTGTCCTGAAACCCTTCAATTTTTACCCCACTACACTCTTCTAAACCCGCCACAGCCTTTGCGAGACCTTTCACCAGGGGGACTCTGTGTGGTCACCACTGCACTATGGGACAGCACAGGGAGGACTTTCCATTCTGGTCCTTTGAACAGTGTGTGTGTTGCTACTGCAAGGAGCCCCTTCTCCAAGGTGTTTTGCAGGTGTGTGAGCAGCTGGTGATGGCCAAACCAGCCTGGACCGCAGAGGTGCTCAGTGCTCTACCCCCGCAGTCGGGTGGGAATGGAGCACCACCTGCCCTAGGGTGATGGTGGGCAGGTTTCCTATAAACTGGGCCAGAGATGGGAGCTGGATGAGGTTCCTGCTCTAGCTGGGCTGGGGAAAAGGAAAGAAATGTTACCTCTGATGCTGAGTGAAACGTAGAGCACGATGATGATGGTCCCCAGGACAATGGAGACGATGCTGAGCAGCCTGGCCATGCGGCCGAGTCGCCGGGCTCCGTCCATGTCCCCTTGCTGCCCGCTGTTCCTTGACTGGGGGGGGAACACAGAAAGAGGCTCTTGAGAACGGCTGCGGCTCTGGGGTGATTCTCTGGCTGTACCCCCCAAAATGAGAGCTGCTGCATCAGCAGGGGGGCTGGACCTGCCCCCTGGGCTCTCACAGGATGGCATGTGAATCCCCTCTGCCAGCCTACCGCATTGACAGCCCGTGGTCCTGCTAAACCAGTGTGCCTGGAGGAGCCCACCTGGGATGCTGTTCTGCTTGCCCTGGGTAGGAGCTGGACGGACTCAAGTCTGTCTTTTGTTGGAGTGACTAAGGAATAGCCCCAGTGTGGGGACAGGAGGCAGAGCGCAGCCTCAGCTCCTCTCTGACTCTTTCATGGAAAACCCTGATATTCTTGACTTCAATCCTCAAAGCAGCTCGCTTGTACGGGGCCTGCGCAGGGGGGCTGAATCCCCAGGGGCACCGCTGTCCTTCTGCAGCTTGCGAACAGGAAAAGCACGCTGCCGCCATCGTCTTCTGCAAATTTATGTATTGAGAAGTAAAGTAGATTGTGAGTTTAACTATCACTGATAAACCAAAAAAGCCCAAACCACTGACGTTTCCAAAGCAGCATGTGGCCTCTTTGCCGGCCGCTGGAGCTGAATGTGTGTACGAGAGGAACAGGCTTTGATAATGCAGATCTTGTGATGGGATGTGCTTTGGTGCCTCTGCATTACTCTGAATTTCTGCATCACCGTAGATGGGTTGTGTTCACCATCTCTGTTTCTAAATGCAGTCCTCCTACAGCGAATTCCTGCTCTTGTGTGTGCTGTGGGGAGGGAAGGAATAGTCTGTATAACTTCTCTATTCTGCTTCTAGTTTCATTGTGATTTCCCCTGCTGCTCTATTGATTTCTTTAGGCAGCTCAGTGAAAGCTTTCCTCTGCTCTGTAACTAAAAGAAAAGGCTCCTTGGCTGTGGAAGGGCTGAGCAATGGGATGGGGAATGACACTAGTAGGTGCCTGAAAATGATTGTGTGTGGACTCATTAAGGAATGAAAAGAGATCCTCAAGAGTTGCAGCTAGAACAGGGCCTGCCTGGCGCTGATGTTGGTGGGCACTGATGTCTTAATGGGAGGCATTCGGTGGGATAAATTGCAGCAGTCCTTGTCTTTGGGAACAAGTGACAACACAGGGTAGATGGAAAACACAACTTGGAGGTTCCCTTGGAAACTTTGCTTTTCACTGCTTCATCAGGGCTGGCCACCCATGGGCTCGGCAGAGATCCAGACCCCAGGGCATCTCCAGGGGGGTTAGTGAAGCTTCCCCAGGGTCTGCCCAGCAGTGCTGCTGGGGCCAAAGGGGCCGGATGGGGTTGAGAAGGATTTGGGTTCACACCCAAAGGGGAAAGACATAAGACTGGATGAGCGTGGGCTCACCAAGACCTTGCCTGGTGCCTGCCTGGGCAGCGAGGGTGATGCTGTGGCCTGACTCCTCTGAGCTTCAGTGCCAGCTCTCTTACTGCAGCGCTGCCAACCCGCCGGGCAAGAGAAGCCTCCACATATGCCAACCACCCACAGCAACCTGAAGACCAAGCACAGCTCATCAGAAAAAGTATAATACACAGATGCATCATAAACCTTCGGAGTAAGTGATTAAATAAGGACCAATCTTGTTTCTTCCTCTTGTAACTGGCAATCATTTGGTTCCCAAGTGACAAATACTGGAAGTAAGAATTCCTGGTGAGGGAGAAGCATTACTGCTGAGAGAGGAGCCCACAGCGCTCCCCAGCCTGCCAGAGTGAGTGTGCTGGGCTTCTTGCACTTGGCTGAGGGAGGACCTAGCACTTAGCAGCAGGGCAGCTGTGCAGTACCACGGCGAGGTTATTACGGCAAAATTACTCACCGTGCGTCAGCACTCGTGTGGTGGAGAGGCTGGAGCCCCTCCATCAGCAAAACAGGAGCTCCCTGCTCGGGACGAGGCAGACGGTCTGCGATTAGCATGGCTCTCCAGACCAAAAAACCTTCCTGAATTCACGCAGCGCCCTTCTGCCTCCCATGAAACCCATTGGGAAGGGAGGGAAATGGGATAAGGAGTTTTAAGGTCAACTGGTAATATTTTCACCTTGGAAGGCTTGGAGTGGGGGGAAAGGGAGTCAAGGCAGGCCTGGGGGAGAGACTGGGGCAAGGAGGAGGGAGCCCAGCACACGGGTCTGTCACCTTGATCTGGTGGAGAAGTGGAGTAAAACTGCCCTCGACTTCATGGGGGATGAGGTTTTGTAGATATTTTAACTGCCTTGAAGCAGTTACTCTTTCTTTTGGCGATGCTTTTAACATATTTACATAGGTTAAAGGCTTCTTCCCCTGCCCTGTCCATCTCCAGCCTTGCTGCCTTGGCTGAGCCAGGTTTCAGCAGACAGAAGGAGATGTGGGGCAGACTCTGGGGTGGGCAGATCCCTGCAGCTACGTACCATGTGCCGACTCCTCGCTTTGGAGCGTGGTGGCTAACGCTGGGAAAACTGAGTTAAAAATACAGAATGTGCTAGTTAATAAGAGTTAAAGGTGGAAGTGTGATAAAACAATCCCCCTTTCCTTTCAAAAAATTCCTATCTCAGAAATAACAACTGCACTGGGAAGGGTTTGGCAAATGTTTAAAAAAAAAAAAAAAAAAAAAAAATAATGAAGACTTGATGTTACTACCCCCTTTCCTGTTCATCCTGCTTGGTGTTAATACCAACAGCAATACAAATACCAATTAATAATAATAGGGGTACTAATACCATCCCACCCTTGGCAGCACCACGATCAGAAGGTCCCCAGCCCAGGGCTGCTCCGTACGGCTCAGGTAGGTAAAACGCAGCTCTGAAGGTTTCCACATACTCGTTTGAGTTTGTATCACCCTGCAAATAACACAGTGGAGCCTCAAACAGATGGTTGCTTCCACTGCAGCCCTGCAAACCTCCCGCTCTGCTCACACACCACCCTGTACAACAACGTCCCCACAGCTGACGCCAAGAGAGCTCAAGACCTCGTTTCTTCTGGTCTCAACAGCACATTTGACAGACCGTGTCTAAGATCGATGGGATGCAGCCAAGAGCCTATTTTCATTACAGAACAGATGACAAAATGACGCCTCATGGGCTGGTGGGGAGGGATGGGGAGGACACGGTAGACCAGAGATTGACAGGATCCCTGCCCTGCTCACTGGCAGCTTCCAACATTTGGGAATTTTAGGCTCAGATTTTTGTAACGTGTGATATTTTTGTAAGGTGTGGGTTAGATTGCAGTGAAATATGCAGTTTTGGCTGTCTTCTGGGAAAAATATATAGGCTAACGAATTCGATATATTTATCACTACAGTTCTGGAAGTGTTTACTGCTCATTTATCCTGAACAATTATGAAAAATACATCAGCATTGGCATGGGGTGTTTAGCAAGCATTTGTTACTGTACATATATTATTCATTGGTGTGGAACGGTTTGATTATAGCTCTCTACTATCACTAATCCTGTGTTTTGCTTTCCACATAAAAACATGAACATCTTGTTTATTAATCGAGACTCGCCGAGGCAGAATATCTCAGAAAGGCTTGAGGGCTCTGGGGGAGTGAGTCAGTGTGTGTGTGCCAAGAGACTCCGTATTACATTAGAAAATCTGAAGGACCCTGGAAGTGGGGCTGGAACGGCACGTTGTACCACAGCACCCACGGGGCCAGGTAAGTCTGGGTGGTTCAAAGGAGTTATTAATCTCACCTGTTTTCGAGCTGTTACCTGTTCAAGTTACTGTTCAGAAGGGTTTTTGCCCTAATAGATCACCTAAGTTGTGTGGTTGCAAATGAAGACAATTATTCTTCTGTGCTAGTCCCAGGGATGGAGAAGACGAATTGTCACCTCCTCTTCCCTGCAGTATTTCCCTATTTATGAACCAGCTTTGGATGCACTCTGCTGCCTTCCACCAGTTACTCAGAATAAATCATTAATCCTCAACACTTGCGTTTTGTTGATGAAAACATTCTGAGAGAGGTATAAGTCAACATCAGACTTAGAAGATGACTGTGCCATTTAAAATGAGCAAGGATAGTTTGACTTCTCCCACGTCTTTCAGGAATGACAGTACTTATTTTGGACACCAAGTGCTGTGCAGAATTGCCCTTGGCATTACTATAGGCTAGTTCTGGCTGGAGTTACCTTTCTTTTCCACTTCGTTTGTTTGGAGTTTTGTACACTGCTAAGTGACCTCTCTACTTCCTCCCCCAGTGTGGTTGCACTTTGGTAGGAAAGGGAGGGATTCAATAACAGCAATACAGCGTGTGTTGTGGTATCTGGCCGTGCCCTGCAATACCTCTGAGATGGGGCCCTGCTGCCCTTGTGTCCATCAGACCCACTCTCTGGCTCGGGGGGAGACCTGAGCCCCTTGGTGCAGCCAGATCCTCTCTTGGTCAAAAAACTGCATCCAAGAGTCAGTGGCAGAGACTCCAGTAACTCATTTCCACAAGACCAGCCTTATCAAGAACAAGCTAGGGGTTAGAGCAGATTTTTTTTTTTTCCACCTCTGGCTGTAGGCCCTGCTAGGATCTGAGAGCAGCTTTTGAAAAATGATTTATGAGATACTAAACCCAAAAGCATTCATTTGCTTTCCTCTCTGGATGGTGCTTATTACCCAGAAAAAAGCTTTCATGTGCAAAAAATCATTGACTTAGGAAAGAAAAATACAATTGCAGAGCTAAAGGAATGTCAGCACATTGTGGAAAGGTCCCTCTGCCCGCCCAGGCACAAGGAATTGCAAAAACCTGCTTCCTGCTCAGATTTGTGCATGGTCAGGCACTCCTGGGTTTTATTCTGTGGGCAGACCTAAGCCTGTGGGAACCTCGGGGATAACTGGGAACTGAATTTCTCCCTGGCGTAAGGGGGTGAAACGTCAGCTGATGCTCCGAGAGCTGTTCCTGCTGGCAGAAGGACCCAGCCAGTTGTTCCCTGGCTCCCCAGGGTCAGCACGGAGCAAGGATCACTCCTCGTCCTGCTCTGCTGGCACCGTGCGGGGGTCCCTGGCTGGAAGGGGGCAGGGGGCAATGGCACAGGCATGGCCAGGGCACTAAAAAACTAGTCCCTGTTCCATGGGACAGGGAGCGCAGGGATGACTGTGGAGGGGTCAGAGGATGTGCACTGGCTACCAATGTGCTGCGTGCACTAGAAACCTTGTCCTGGAGAACAAATTCATCCTAGTGTGCCTTCTGGCTCGGTGGGCCCGGAGGGTTGGGCACCCCCTTCCCCCAGCTCTGAGTGGGCTCTGGTCAGTGCTGTCAGGGGCTTTGGAAGCAGAGGGCAGCCAAATAGCCTTATTGCCTTGTTGGTCCTGCCTCTCTTTGTGCTTAACCCAGTAAATACACCCCAGGACTGCGCTGCCTAGCAGTATTAACTGGCTCCTGCTCTTTTTTCACTGCTTACTCTTCTACTCCACAGGGCTTATGTGACCCAAGGCACATCCCCACCATGCTGGAGGCTCTAATGCCTGCAAGAAAGAGTGTGAGAATCTATTTTGCATGAAGGCTAATGTGGTTGGAAAATCCCCGTGAGAGCCCTTGTTTATTACCATGGATATGCAATACCCAGCTGCTTTCCCTCCCGTTGCAGTGCAAAGCCAAACAAGGCTGGCTGGCTTCCCCGTATGCTGCCTGAACAGGCTCCGCCACACAACTGTACTACGCAGATGACAGCTGGCACTGGCAGAAATGATGATTCCTCCTCAAAATGGAAACTGGTCTCTCTCGAGGGCTTTCTGTGGCGACTGCCCGTGTCTGTCTTCAAGTTGGTGGGGGGTTTTGGGGAAGTGCTGGCTGCAGGTGCCCCTCGGTGTATTTTAGCGTGCTAAGCGGGTAATTGCTTTCCCTGAGCTGATTTTTAAAGGAAAGGTTTGCCTCTGTTGCAAATCGAGAATAATAAAATGTCCCGGGGGGGACTGGATAGCAGTGGGGCATCCCGGTGGGTAAGGGGGTGGCCGTACTTGCAGGGCTGCGCTGACTGAGCCCCCTGCACCCGAGATGGGAGGGGGCCGGCTGGCTTTACTCTCCCCTGTTCAGATGCTGGTGTCTTTGCTGAGGCGTGGGGGATGATTAATGGAGAAAATCGCTTCTTCGGGGCAATGAAAGAGCCGCAGGTGCAGCCTGTCCCTTTGAAGTGTCCGAGGGCAGGAACCAGCCTCCAGCCGGGGTGTCCCCAGGGCTGCCGTGAGGGGCGGGCGGGGGATCCCTTGTCCCTGCTTCGCCTCGCAGCTCCTTCCCGGGGAAGCCCGGTGAGTCGCTCCGGACCGCTGCCTGGCGGCAAGGGACCGGGCTTCCCCGGGCTTCCCGGAGCCGCCGGGCTTCCCGGAGCCCTGCCCTGCGTGTGCCCGGATCCCACCCCCGAATCCCGGGCCGCCGCTCTCCATCCCCATCCCGCGAGCTGTCCGGGGCTCGGCCGCCGCTCCCTGCCCGCCCTTCCCGGCGCCCGATGGCAGCGGCCGGTTCCCCGCGGAGGCTCCTCCCGCCCCGCTCCCGCC